CTGATATCTTCTTTCATTTCAATGTTTATTTAATCAAATGAATTTTATTATAGCGCATTATTTCTTCCAACTCAACGATTTTTATTTAGACTTATACAATTCTATTATTGCTCATTGTTTTATATAATTTCTGATATCTTCTTCCATTTCAATTCTATTATCTTCTTCCATTACAATTCTATTATTGCTCATTAGTTTTATATAATTTCTGATATCTTCTTTCATTTCAATGTTTATTAAATCAAATAAATTTTATTATAGCGCATTATTTCTTCCAACTCAACGATTTTTATTTAGACTTATACAATTCTATTATTGCTCATTAGTTTTATATAATTTCTGATATCTTCTTCCATTTCAAGGTTTATTTAATCAAATAAATTTTATTATAGCGCATTATTTCTTCCAACTCAACGATTTTTATTTAGACTTATACAATTCTATTATTGCTCATTAGTTTTATATAATTTCTGATACTTTCTTCCATTTCAAGTTTTATTTAATCAAATAAATTTTATTATAGCGCATTATTTCTTCCAACTCAACGATTTTTAATTAGAGTTATACAAAACTATTATTGCTCATTAGTTTTATATAATTTCTGATACCTTCTTCCATTTCAAGGTTTATTTAATCAAATAAATTTTATTATAGCGCATTATTTCTTCCAACTCAACGATTTTTATTTAGACTTATACAATTCTATTATTGCTCATTAGTTTTATATAATTTCTGATATCTTCTTCCATTTCAAGGTTTATTTAATCAAATAAATTTTATTATAGCGCATTATTTCTTCCAACTCAACGATTTTTATTTAGACTTATACAATTCTATTATTGCTCATTAGTTTTATATAATTTCTGATATCTTCTTCCATTTCAAGGTTTATTTAATCAAATAAATTTTATTATAGCGCATTATTTCTTCCAACTCAACGATTTTTATTTAGACTTATACAATTCTATTATTGCTCATTAGTTTTATATAATTTCTGATACTTTCTTCCATTTCAAGTTTTATTTAATCAAATAAATTTTATTATAGCGCATTATTTCTTCCAACTCAACGATTTTTAATTAGAGTTATACAATTCTATTATTGCTCATTAGTTTTATATAATTTCTGATATCTTCTTTCATTTCAATGTTTATTAAATCAAATAAATTTTATTATAGCGCATTATTTCTTCCAACTCAACGATTTTTATTTAGAGTTATACAATTCTATTATTGCTCATTAGTTTTATATAATTTCTGATATCTTCTTCCATTTCAATTCTATTATCTTCTTCCATTACAATTCTATTATTGCTCATTAGTTTTATATAATTTCTGATATCTTCTTTCATTTCAATGTTTATTAAATCAAATAAATTTTATTATAGCGCATTATTTCTTCCAACTCAACGATTTTTATTTAGACTTATACAATTCTATTATTGCTCATTAGTTTTATATAATTTCTGATATCTTCTTCCATTTCAAGGTTTATTTAATCAAATAAATTTTATTATAGCGCATTATTTCTTCCAACTCAACGATTTTTATTTAGACTTATACAATTCTATTATTGCTCATTAGTTTTATATAATTTCTGATACTTTCTTCCATTTCAAGTTTTATTTAATCAAATAAATTTTATTATAGCGCATTATTTCTTCCAACTCAACGATTTTTAATTAGAGTTATACAATTCTATTATTGCTCATTAGTTTTATATAATTTCTGATACCTTCTTCCATTTCAAGGTTTATTTAATCAAATAAATTTTATTATAGCGCATTATTTCTTCCAACTCAACGATTTTTATTTAGACTTATACAATTCTATTATTGCTCATTAGTTTTATATAATTTCTGATATCTTCTTTCATTTCAATGTTTATTTAATCAAATAAATTTTATTATAGCGCATTATTTCTTCCAACTCAACGATTTTTATTTAGACTTATACAATTCTATTATTGCTCATTGTTTTATATAATTTCTGATATCTTCCATTTCAATTCTATTATCTTCTTCCATTACAATTCTATTATTGCTCATTAGTTTTATATAATTTCTGATATCTTCTTTCATTTCAATGTTTATTTAATCAAATAAATTTTATTATAGCGCATTATTTCTTCCAACTCAACGATTTTTAATTAGAGTTATACAATTCTATTATTGCTCATTAGTTTTATATAATTTCTGATATCTTCTTCCATTTCAAGGTTTATTTAATCAAATAAATTTTATTATAGCGCATTATTTCTTCCAACTCAACGATTTTTATTTAGACTTATACAATTCTATTATTGCTCATTAGTTTTATATAATTTCTGATACTTTCTTCCATTTCAAGTTTTATTTAATCAAATAAATTTTATTATAGCGCATTATTTCTTCCAACTCAACGATTTTTAATTAGAGTTATACAATTCTATTATTGCTCATTAGTTTTATATAATTTCTGATACCTTCTTCCATTTCAATTCTATTATTTTCTTCCATTACAATTCTATTATTGCTCATTAGTTTTATATAATTTCTGATACCTTCTTCCATTTCAAGGTTTATTTAATCAAATAAATTTTATTATAGCGCATTATTTCTTCCAACTCAACGATTTTTATTTAGACTTATACAATTCTATTATTGCTCATTAGTTTTATATAATTTCTGATATCTTCTTTCATTTCAATGTTTATTAAATCAAATAAATTTTATTATAGCGCATTATTTCTTCCAACTCAACGATTTTTATTTAGATTTATACAATTCTATTATTGCTCATTAGTTTTATATAATTTCTGATATCTTCTTCCATTTCAAGGTTTATTTAATCAAATAAATTTTATTATAGCGCATTATTTCTTCCAACTCAACGATTTTTATTTAGACTTATACAATTCTATTATTGCTCATTAGTTTTATATAATTTCTGATATCTTCTTTCATTTCAATGTTTATTTAATCAAATAAATTTTATTATAGCGCATTATTTCTTCCAACTCAACGATTTTTATTTAGACTTATACAATTCTATTATTGCTCATTAGTTTTATATAATTTCTGATATCTTCTTCCATTTCAATTCTATTATCTTCTTCCATTACAATTCTATTATTGCTCATTAGTTTTATATAATTTCTGATATCTTCTTTCATTTCAATGTTTATTAAATCAAATAAATTTTATTATAGCGCATTATTTCTTCCAACTCAACGATTTTTATTTAGACTTATACAATTCTATTATTGCTCATTAGTTTTATATAATTTCTGATATCTTCTTCCATTTCAAGGTTTATTTAATCAAATAAATTTTATTATAGCGCATTTTTTCTTCCAACTCAACGATTTTTATTTAGACTTATACAATTATATTATTGCTTATTAGTTTTATATAATTTCTGATATCTTCTTCCATTTCAAGGTTTATTTAATCAAATAAATTTTATTATAGCGCATTTTTTCTTTCAACTCAACGATTTTTATTTAATAAATTATATCTGTTGTTACCTAAATTAGGATTGGCCAAATCCTTCTAGATACACAACAATATATTTCTACGTTCATAATATTTATTTAACGAATTAAATATAAAAGAATTAAGTTTGAAATCAACATAGGTGGAAAGGGAAAAAGCGCTGTCAACATAAAACTAACTGAATGATCGGAAAAGCTTAGTGGGTATAACATTATATAAGTGGTGTGTACATTAGTTATTTAGTGTAAAGAGGGTGAATGGGAAAATGAATAATGCGTTTGGAAATAATATTGATTGGGAAATTAAATAATAGAATTAGGGACTATATCTTACACCTCCCCTTCCCATGAAAATGGTCCCCCATTTTGGATTCAAGCACGTGTATGTTGTTTGTCTTTCTTTTTCTTTGATGTTTGCTTTATGACGATTTCTTTTCAATGATTACTTTTTTTGATGATTGCTTTTTGTGAGCTAACTGATCAGTCTTCGACTGTCAGGCTCTATTTGAAATTTTGTTGAATTAATGATGTTTGCTTTTTATCTTTTTGATGATTACTATTTTTTTTATTGATGATAACTTTCTGATGAGGCTTTATGACGTGCTGCCATGCTTGAAAGGTCTTTGGAAGTTATTGCCCGGGGAGAGGTATAATATACATTTTGATTAAGAGATTATATAAACAATTATATATTGGGAAAAACGTATAAATTAGAAAAACAATTAAATATTAAAATTGTAAAAAAATAATTGTGTGAAGAAAAATTTCTATAATCATAATTGAGTGAAAAATCAATTCAATGTAACAGTAATGTTTGTAACAAAATCGGTATCATTATATTAAAAAAAATGATGTAAAACATCTAAATTGATAAAAATTATATGTAATTGAATAATTTGAGAAAATGTTATATTTGAATTGTGTGACAAATAATTTGAAAAGAAGAACTTAAATCATATTGTCAATTAAAAATTAATTCGGTATAATAGCGTCTGTGAAATAACTATCAATTATTAAAAATAGATTAAATGAACGTTCTTATGTAAATAACATGCCTAAATATTTTAAAAACAATTTGTGTTATTATATCAACATTAATTACTAAAAAAGGTAGTATAGTGAGAAAAACATTTTGAAATCAACGTGAGTCAATTATGAGTTAAGTATATCTGAGGGCATTAAAAACTGTGAAAATATGAAGGAGTGTAATTGCTATTAAAATTGCTATTAAAAATAAATCAATGTAATTCAAAAATGTAATTGCTATCAAAAATAAATAAACGGAAATGGTCAAAAAAAATAATTTAAATGTGGATAATCACAACTTAAAATTATGGAATAGTAACACAATAAATTTACAGAATTGATGGCATAAATAACATTAAAAACAATTAAAAAATCATTACAAATAATTTTAAAAAATTTAATTAAATTTTACTTCAGTTGGTCCATTTTGGTTTTTTGTTGCAGGATTGTTGGCACTAGTGCTGTTCTTCATCATATTCTTTAATTCCATCTTCCACTTCTTGTCCACGTGTTGCGTTTTCTTGAAGTTGATGTGTTGTTGTTGTTGTCTGGGCAGTCGCGAATTATGTGTCCAGGTTGCCGGTATCTATGGCATAGTTGAATCGATCCACTACATCGTTGTTGTTGTTGTCTTGTTGTTGGTTTCCATTTGTTGGCAACTTGCGATGTTGATTGTTGTTGTTGCTGCATGTTGTTTTCGTCCTTCCATTCATCATAAAAATTTGCTGCTTTGACTTTCATTCTTTGTTGAAAATGTTGTTGTTGTGTCCACCATTGCTTTGATGTAGTCTGGTGTGACGACTGTTGTTTTGTTAAGAGCACTTTGCAAAAAACGCATCCGTATTGCCGTCCAGAACATCTTGATGTCTACGACCACCACTACTTGCCATCGCTGAGAGGTTTTGCTTGCATCCAAAGGCATTGGCTGTGTTGACGATCACGTCCTCCAATTCCATATTTGCCACGGCCATTCCAACTTCTTTTGTCTGTTCTACGTATTGTCGAATTATTCTTATATTACCGGTGAATCGTGGTCGCACGTTGCCGATGAAATCCATCAGTTCTTGTCATTTCAGGGTTTGGTTGCCGAGAATGATTCTGGAATTTAATCATTGAATCAGTTTTGATGAGTGAGCACCAGAGGAGAGTTCCTGTGTTGTAGTTTGATCGGAGCCTGTACTGTTAATTGATCCAGTTCAACCAATATTCTGCATGTTGTTAGTCGTTCACCATGTGCTGTATACGCACATGCTTGAATACATTCTACTAGTGCTGGGTGACTGTAGTTTGTCTCCAATGTTGTTTTGTCGACGCCTGGTGATCTCTAAATTCCAAATTATTGTATCAAAGCCGAGGTGATTTAATTTGATTTTCCCTACCTTTGTTATTACGTCTGTTCACCTCAAAAATGAAACCTGTTGACCTGCCAACGTGCATTAGATCTGTAATATCAATTTCTGTGGCCACTGCCTACATTAATCCAACCTACCTTAATCCGTGGCCTAATTCCTTGTAGCTTGCTTCTTTTCATACTCAGTTCTTCATAGCCAGGTTGCCATGAATATTTAGTTACCCGAATTTTGTCGCCAACGGTCGGTTGCTAATCTCCTATAATTAAATCTTTGTTATGCTAATAAAACAAACCCAGTTGGTCGTTTGGTCGGTTTCTTTGCAGCAATTGCTTGAAGTTGTAAGTTTTGGATAACAATATAAATTAATCCTTCACGTGTTGTTTGTTAATTTTTAGCTTCTATCCTTCTTATCTCCTTCAAACTTACTAAAACAATTTTCTTGCTAATTCTCAAACTCTTCAACCACATTCTCTTCTATAGAGACATTTTTTTCCTCATCTTCTTTACTCTCGTTCAGGACATCCGCCACAAATGGCGTTTTTTCACTCACCACCACTCTATCTTCCAACAATTTCAGCGGGTAATTATCGACCTGAGTCACAATGACTTCAAGCTCTTCATTAGCTTTCTGACCTACTTCATTCACTTGACCAATATTTAGTTTTCAGACATTGAAAGATAATTTTCTAAAAGAATAAGACTTAGGGGTTAAAAGAAAATAAAAAATTATTTTATAGCAAAAACAATATTTAAACGTTTAATAGAATTGAAGAAATATGTGAATGGTTAAAGAGGATGATGACTGTTTTTTAGAGGAGCAATTGCGAGAGAAACGACTAGGAAGAGATCAATGAGTATAGCGAAGTAATAGGCACCTGCAGTGAAATATTGGCTTTTGCCAATGGCTGTCTATCGTTATATTGTACAGCTATTATGGTTTGGCTCTTCCCAGAGCAGAGATTTTATCGTTTTGAATAGGCGACGTCGGTAAAAAAATTGTACTTTGTTTATGAGAGAATGATTTAAAGAAAAGAAAAGAAAAATTCTATTTAGAGTTTAAAAGAAAATTTTATGTAAATGAGTTTAGCAAATGTTCTTTTTTTTGTGAGAAGAAAAATAAAAAATAAATGTGAATTTTAATTAAAATAATGAAAAGTGTGAAGGTCATTTTGAAATAACTTCGAGGGAAAATATAATTTGAAAAAATGAAATTTTATAAATGGTTTAGTGATTTAAATTTGTTTTTTGGATATTAAGTAGAATTGGTATCATTAATGGAATTCTGAGAACTGGAAAATTTTAAGTAATTGTGTCTATTTTCTGAAAAAAAATGTTTTTTTTATTATAAATTTCGCAAATCTTAATTTTCAGGATCTGCTCCACTAGTGGAGTTAATTCATTTAATTCATTTACTTTATTTTCTATCCATAACCTTTTTTATTTATAGCTAGTGCATAATCTAATGGCTATTTAATGTATACTTTTGTTAGATTGGTATTGTTTGGAAATTGCTAGAGTTTGAGCATATTGCTAAATTAGATGTGTTTAATTGAAAAAAAACTTACTTAAAAAAATAATTTCAATAAACTAAGATTTTAACATTTTTGGATATAAATGAATAGCACGTTCTATGACTGATATAAAATTATTAAAAGTTTTAACCTAAAAAATTCGGCCGGTTATTTTATAGAAGGGATTGAGCTCTACTAGGAGCAGAACACCTTATCTAATTATTTCCTAATTTACGGTTTTTATTGACGAATCTGTGACTTAATTTTCCTAAAATTTTACCTAATTTTTATTTTCGTGAAATTTTTATTTCTTTTGAATTAGTGATAAACTTAACGAGTTAATGTATTTTGTTGACGAAATCTGTGATTCATCACGCGCTTGATTTTCTTTTTTTGAGTGCTTTGGTTACATTATGTGACTCATTTTTGTTTTTTTTTGTTTCTAGATTTTATCCACTAATGGATTTCTTTCATTTTATATACCTTGCTGGTTTTCAAATTTTGTTTCGATCTCTTAATTCTTCGATTCTTAACTCTGGTTCTTCTTAATGGTGAATTATGAAATGATGAATCCTAATGGCGAATTGTGAAATGATTCGAAAATCAAACTTTGTAGTGAGATGGGGACAAAAATTCGCGGTTTCGAGTTTTGAGGTTTAAAATATAAAATACCTGAATTTATGCATAGATTAACTGCAAGTGCCCTCATTCTCTGTCATTCTCATAAAATCATTTAGGCAATTCTCCAGTTTCTATGAAGTTCGTTAGTGCTGATATTTCTGGGTCTTCTTTTTGTTCGTGCATTAAATCTATTTTGTATGAATCACTTTGCTTTCGTTGTTATGGCTAGACATACAGGAAACTCAACAATATCCTCCATTTCAGGCCGATTTTGTAATTCTTTTGAAAGTATATCCTCAGCGTCTCTAGATAAGGCATCAGACAGTGTATTTTGCTTACCGGTTTCTTTATTCTTTTGCATTAATAATCCGCTATAATAATCCGCATTAATAATCCGCTTCTTTTGCATTAATAATCCGCATTAATAATCCGCATTAATAATCCGCCTTCCCAATTTGTAGTTTTTAATGTTTTATTTTCAACCTTATTTACCTGGATATTTTCAATCTTAGGTTTATCTTTATTTTTGATTTCAGTTTTTTCTGATTTATCACATTTGCTTATAGCATTAATAGTTTCTGAGTCTTTACAGGATTTTCTACCCGAGGGCAGTATCTTCATTGATGCAAATGCTCGCAGTAGTTCGTTCGCATCTACGGTTATTGTAGAAGCTGGATAGCTTAGATTGCTTGGACTGGGAGACTGAGGGTTGTCCTGCATTGCATTAACATTTTGCCTCCAGTTTTGATTAAAACGTTTCTTCCTTTCGAAACAATTAAAGGCAAGGTGACCCGTTCTTTTACAAAAATTACATACAGGACGGCTATTCCATGTACGCTCATCGTCTGGATTATTATTCCAATCCCTAAATCTTTTCTGACCCTCATTTTGCCTCGGGTTATACATATTTCTTTGAGGATAATTATTTCTTTGTTGGTTACCGCGCTGGTCCTGAAATGGCCTGTTATTCTGCGCTACAAACTGATTACTTGATGAAGGCATTTGTGGGTTTCGATCAATTGCCTGTATGAGTTGGGGAAATAACCCTGGAGCTTGCCCTTTATGTGTCTTTAATAATAGTTCTAATTCTTCAGCCTGAGTTCTAACAAGTTCTAGGTCCTTTTCTTTTGAAAGGCCTGCTAATCTAATGAGAAAGGATAAATCGGGCTTCAGGCGGTCTAAAAATTCTTCGCATAACCTCTCTTTTAATTGTACTGGTCCTAAACTAGAATAAGCGACTTCAATTAGCGCAGTCAATCGTTTTAGAAAAATACTTACTGGTTCGTCATCTCGTTGTTTGCACATTACTAGGTCTCTTTTTGCTAATTCTTTTCTTTGTGGTGAATCCAATTTGTCCTTCAGTGCCTTGAGGGCCGTTTCAACATTAAGAGTTTCAGCTACGGACAGTTTGTCAAATAAGTCTCGAGGCGTATCATCCAAAGCAAGACGTAGTCTGTCCACTTTCTCTTCTTCATTCATATTTCTGCACATAGCTGCCAAATAATCTTTAAAACGTCGCGCCCATTTGTCAAATGCGGATACAGACTCTTGAGAAAATACTTCTAAACAGGTAATACCTGTTAATGTGAAAATTTCGTTTACTACTACAGGATTATCGTCCACGAATGGATCAATTCTAATTAATGTATCATTTAATCTTACCGATCTATTATGTTGAGAGATATCATTTTCATCTGTATTATTTGGTTCTAAATGTTCGATACGCTCTAATATTGTTTGTATTTGCAATTCGACTGTTGCCGAATTTGTGTTTACGTCGTTAGCAAGACGATTGATTGCATTAAAATTCGCTTGTGCTTTTCTATTTATGTGTCTTATAGAACGATTTAATCCATCTTGGAGGTTAATTAAGTCAGCATGTGCTCTTTCAACATCATTTAGCATTAATTTGGTTTTACCAATCCAGAATTGCTTGTCTATCGCAAAAACATCGTATTCATTCGTATTTGTACTTGGGCTATTTCTTTGAGACATATTTGCAGGATTATTAGACTCGAAAGCCTTTTCTCTATTTAATTATTACCTGATAAAATATTAGGTGATAAAAATGTAAAGACGTAAGTCGAAATAATTTTATTTTGAGCGATTATGTTTTAATTGTGTTATCAATAATAATTATTTTGATTGCCTAAATTTAAAAAAATTGTAAATGTAAAATAATTCAAAGCTAAAAAATAAAGAATACTCAAAGGTCAATGCATATTCAAATGAATGCTAGTAAAATAAAATTAAGAATGTAAGCGCTTTCTGATTAACATAAATGTTTATACTAAAGTTATATAAAGTAGTGAGCACTTTCTGTCCTTTTTCTTTTTAATAGATTTTAATCGCTTTCTCATAGCGCTAAGTTTAGTGTTTATGCTTTGTTTAATAAAAAATTCTTTTGCCTATTGCTCATCTTTTTAATTTAAAATTTAAAAAAACTAAAGAATATTACACTTTTTGTGTTAAAGGAATTTGAACAAAAACTTTTTTTTTAATTTTCTCACAGATGTTTAAAATAGATAGTATGCATAAATTTTTGTTTAAACTAAGATTTTGAAAAAGAGAAAAAATTTGTCTGAATATTTGTTTTTTTTTGTCGATGTACTATTTTTTTATAGGTTATACAGGAGTATAGTCTCTAGAGAGTTTTTCAAATAATTATGCCTAAATTGGCAGAAATTGTCGACTACAATAAATGAACAGAAAAAACTGTCGACTTTAAATAATTATGAATAAATAAAAAGAAAAAAATTGTCGACTTTAAATAGAATCTAATATATCTTTTTATAGTTAAAAATATGGAATTCTGGTTTCCTTAGGCTAATTCTAATTGATATGATATATATTCTTAATATAATTGACTGAGTAATTCTAAAATCTTTATTTGTCTAAAAATTATTATTTCTATATTTTCTGATCGATACTTGATTTATTTTATAGAGTAATTTTTCTTTAAAGAGAGAATATAATATTTTTTGAATCTGAACTTCAGATAAATGATATACTTATTATAATTTTCGTCATTTTTTTGGAATAAATCTTTTTTTGAGCCTAAATTTATATAATAATAGCTTTTTTTGATTATACAGGATTGCACTCTCTAGAGAGTGATTCATCATTGCTCTAACAAAAATAAAATAAAGAGCTAAATCTTTTCGACTATAAAAATTTCTAATACAGTAATTTCTCTGAATAGTATAACTAATAATTCGAAATAATTTGACTCTAATAATGATAATTCATATATAAAATTTCTAACAAATTCTGTCGACTGTAAAAAATTAATTTTCTAATAATAATTTAATCTCTCTGAATAATAATTATTTAATTTCTCTGAATAATAATGCGCTTAATTTTCTCTAAAAAATTTGTCGACTAAACAATAATTGTCTAATAATAATTTAATTTCTGTGAATAATATTTAATCTGATAATTTAATCTGTCAATATCTGACGATAATAAATGCGCAATATTCATAATAAATTATTTAACCGGTTTTCAAGATTTTCATGCTCGAAAGCATGTTCTTTCATCCCCCCGGGGGTTCCAACCTCATGTTGTTCAAATCTTACCTTCGATGGATCGTATTCTCGTTCCGCATTCGCAGAACCATCCGGTGCTACCAATAAATTATATCTGTTGTTACCTAAATTAGGATTGGCCAAATCCCCCTAGATACACAACAATATATTTCTACGTTCATAATATTTATTTAACGAATTAAATATAAAAGAATTAAGTTTGAAATCAACATAGGTGGAAAGGGAAAAAGCGCTGTCAACATAAAACTAACTGAATGATCGGAAAAGCTTAGTGGGTATAACATTATATAAGTGGGTGTGTACATTAGTTATTTAGTGTAAAGAGGGTGAATGGGAAAATGAATAATGCGTTTGGAAATAATATTGATTGGGAAATTAAATAATAGAATTAGGGACTATATCTTACAATTTAGACTTATACAATTATATTATTGCTCATTAGTTTTATATAATTTCTGATAACTTCTTCCATTTCAAGGTTTATTTAATCAAATAAATTTTATTATAGCGCATTATTTCTTCCAACTCAACGATTTTTATTTAGACTTATACAATTCTATTATTGCTCATTAGTTTTATATAATTTCTGATATCTTCTTCCATTTCAAGGTTTATTTAATCAAATAAATTTTATTATAGCGCATTTTTTCTTCCAACTCAACGATTTTTATTTAGACTTATACAATTATATTATTGCTTATTGATCAAAATATATAGTTGAATAATAATCATCATATTCCTCTAAATGAAAAATAAATTCTTTCTTCTCGCATATAATACTCATTTTTAGGTTTTTTTGAAATTTATTAATTAAAAATTTTAACACCCTTTTTGGCCTTTCAAGATCCAATGCTTTTACATTTGAAAATTGCTTTTCTTCATATGACGGATTGTTTTTTAGTTGGATTATCACAATTTTGTCAACTGCACTAATTTGCACTGGGCGATTATTAACTAGAATTTTATTTGATTTTTATTAGATTAAATATTAAGAGATAGGAGAGCTGTTTCCTGTGAAATCATTCGGATATCTGGATCCGGAACTATATAATTTCGGTATACTGCTTTCTTTGGGACCGCCAACCCTTTTATTGACTAAACACGTTCAGATTAAATCAAGTTTTCAGATTAATAGTTAAATAATTCCAACCATTTTATTCCACCATATTTAATTAAATAAATATTATTTTGAAGGGATAAAGCTTTGCCTCCATCTGTAGATAATTCATTTTCATCAAAATTACAGACATCGTTTTTTTCAGTTATTTTAATGTAAAACTTATGTTAAAAATGAGAATCGAAACTTCAATCTCAAAACTAGAAAAGTGAATTGAGTGTATCATAGACTGGGATGACCATTTCTTAAGGGTGTTGGGATTTTGTTTGATAAAACCATTTTCTATATGTATTTTCTTCTATAAAGTTTAAAATAATATTATAAACTAGACTTCAGTTTTACATAACCCATTACTGAAAATGTACAAATAATTACTTATAATTAAAACTAAAATTTCGATATCGCTTAAGAGTGTCACAAAAATGTTACATGTGCTGATTTTTTTATGCAAAAAAACGAATTTCAAACCGAATTAAATTCAAACCGAATTAAAAAATTTCATTAAGCTGAAAGTTTTCAACCATCATTTCCTTAAGATAACTTTATATTGTTAGATTTGACCTAATATAAAAATTCAATTTAGCCTTTATCAATTCCATTTGAATGTAATGAAGTTTTATTCGAAAAATACGTAGAAAACCTTTACTTGATTAATGTGCAAAAATTTCAAAATAATGAACCAAGCAATCCATCAACTAATTTTATTGCATTCTGTAACTTTAATATGGATAATCCTATAGAGATTAATGAAAGAATAATTATTCAACAATGGGAGGGTTACAAAAGAATGTATCCAGAATTTCAACCAAGGAATAAACGGAAAGGAAAGGAAATAATTTATAATCGTCCAAGTATACAAAAAACTGTTCAAATTTTAGATAAATCGAATGCACAAATTTTGGTAGATTTGACAAAAGATAAAATAAACCAAAACGGTAAAATATTTTCAAAACGCAAATTTAAGTTGGGTCCTACTTTTAAATTCCGCTATAATAATACATATTTAAGAAAAATGCTATAAAGAATTGATCAATATTGCAAAAAATCAGATGATCAATTGCAAGGAAGCGATGAATAAATTTGAAGATTACAAAAATAAATTTTTAGAAGAAGAAAATTTAAAAATTTTTGATGAGTTTGATGAAGGAAAAATTAAAAGAATTGAAAATTTTATAAAAGAAATTGAACAACATAATGCTTATTTAGAAGGATATGAAGATCAATTAAGGGATACAATAAATGAGCTTAACAATTGTTCAGGATTTGTTGGGGGAAAAGGAAAGAAAATTGCAGGTCTGTACATGATTGGCTATAAATATTGTATTATAATTAGGAGTGCCGGAAAATTGGGCTCTGGAAAATTGGGCTCCAAAATTTTTCGGAAAATTGGGCTCCAACTTTTCGGAAAATTGGGCTCCAGCGGAAATTTGGGCTCTTCGTGAAAAAAGCGGAATATTGGGCTCTAAAATTTTGGGCTCCAGAGTTTTTTTTTCTCCAATTTTTTTCTCCCCGTCATTCTAACAACATCCTCCGTTGACGGAACAACTTCCCCCCGTTGACGGAACAACATCCCCCGTTGACCCCGCATTCTAACATCATCCTCCGTTGACGGAACAACATCCCCCGTTGACCCCGCATTCTAACAACATCCTCCGTTGACGGAACAACTTCCCCCGTTGACCCCCGTTATTCTAACAACATCCCCCGTTGACGGAACAACTTCCCCCGTTGACCCCGCATTCTAACAACTTCCCCCGTTGACCCCCGTAACAACATCCTCCGTTGACGGAACAACTTCCCCCGTTGACCCCCGACCATAGAGCCCAAAATTCCTCTGGAGCCCAAAATTTTAGAGCCCAATATTCAGCTTTTTTCACGAAGAGCCCAAATTTCCGCTGGAGCCCAATTTTCCGAAAAATCTTGGAGCCCAATTTTCCAGAGCCCAATTTTCCTGACACCATAATTAGTGTAGCACGAGGTCGTCTTTTTTTGAAAAACCCAAGGCCGAATATCATCTTTGCTTAAAAAGCCAGATTGATGTGGATGGGACAAAATAGTCAATTATTAGGATGTGTACATTTAGCCTCGTTCCTCAGAGAGGTTCTTGGCGAGGCCCGAGGTCAGCAAAATCAAAATCGAGGATGAAAAATCGATGAGGTTCCCGGCCACATTGAGCCTCGAAATCGTGCTACTCTGACTATAATAATGATTGTATCTATATCTATAATATTAATATAATATCGGGTTCCCTTAATTATTTTTCAAAAAAAAATCAACAAACTTTCTAGACCAAAAAACTTGAGTGAATTTTTTAAATATTTTAACGATAT